AAGGCAAAGGGAAAATGGGCTGAGGAATTTCCCAGCGTCCTTTGGGCATACCGAACAACCCCGCGACGTTCTACCGGGGAAACTCCATATGCTTTGGCTTATGGCATGGAGGCGGTCATACCCCTGGAAGTTGGCATGCCCACCCTAAGAAGCGAGAGTTTCGAGCCCGAATTGAATGCCGAAGCTATTGCCTTGGAATTGGACCTCAGCTTGCTTTGGCATTGATGATGGCTTCGAGGAAGTTGGCGCATTATTTTCACGCCCATACCATCGTCGTACTGACCGAGTTTCCCCTCAAGGCCTTGTTCGAACGGGCGGACTTCTCAGGCCGAATTCTTAAGTGGGCGGTGGAGTTGGGGCAGTTTGAGGTGAAGTTCCAGCCATGCACTACTATCAAAGCTCAGACTTTGGCCGACTTCGTCGCCGAGTTCTCGCCTGGCATTCATCCGGTGTGCCCGGTCGATATTACCGTGGCAGATGATGAGGTGCGCGCAAGACCATCCGAGATACAACGAGTTGTTGGGAGTAGCGACGCGGAGTTTGCGCGCACCAGTGAAGCACCCTCAGTTTACACGGTTATACCACCCGGTGATGCGATGACGGAGTTGAGTATCACCGACCCATCCACTCTGTCTGGTCCCGCATCACCAAGGGGGGAAGAAGTTGAGCCACACAGCTCAGGACCTGCGGCCGGCGTAACACCGCAACCTGATGATTCGCCTACGGACTTGAGCATTATAGAACAACTTGCTGAGTCCGGTGCCGAATCGCCAAGGGGGACTGAATTGGAACCGGTCAACACCGAACTTGGAACCGCACAGCCGAGCAATGATGATCCCACTGCCCTTCGCAACTCTCAGGACCCATCAGACTGCTGGAAGCTTTTTGTGGGAGAAATGTGGAAGCTTTTTGTTGATGGAGCGTCCAACCGTCATGGTGCCGGCCTAGGTATCATTCTTATCTCCCCGGATGGCCTAACCATTGAACATTCTATCACGCTTGGCTTCCTAGCATC